ATATGATTGCACGTGATATGCACGTAATTTGTGTACACACCAGAGGAATGAGATAATTAATCCACAAAATCATGGATTGTTATTCTGTCATGTTTCATTTAGGTTATAAGATGTGTTTTATCTGACTCAGAAGAAGGAGCCAGTCCATTTGAGATTCTACACAGTGGTTTGGTACCACAGCTGTTAAGGTATCATAAATAAACAGACCATTACACTGATGATACACTGATGATTATTCAAATTTGTTGGACCATTTAGTTTGGCACTTGCCTGTTGTGTGGGAGGTCATGAGTACAAGCCAAATCTGGACCAACACTCAGGGTCTTAAAATAATTGAGTAGAAGGTGCTGTCTTTGCTTAAAATAACTGCTAATCACAAGGCCTTCGCTGTAGGCTAAATGACTTTCAAATGCCTGAGATGCATGACTACATAAAATGGCAGTCTTGGAAGCAACAAATTTATTAGTTGTTACTGTCACCCTAAGTGTCACCCTATTGCTCTTCTCTGGCCATGTTTTGGTCTAGGTATCTTACATCACAGACATCAGACTATCAACAGCCTTTAGAATCAAGATTAAAAAGATTCCTACAAGCATTCATGGATTTACCTGTAAGTTCAGTATCTGTTGACTTGTAGTAAAAAATGGGGAAAAAAAGACAATTTATTATTGAATGAACTCCTAGTAAGTAAGCAAAACTGAAATTGCTTTATAATTTATTTACAGGAAAGTGGTGATGTCACAGCTGTTCCTCTGGTAAGCACAAGATAATTCCCTACTACTTATTTTTGTACGACTCTTGAAAATTCTTTAAATTTCTTTTTTGTCTAGAATGATCAGAAGAAACCACCTTTAGCATCTCTTGTTGCTAAGTTACACTCTTGTGTCAACCAAGTAGAACAGGTAAAAACATTAAAGTTTAATATTCTTTGCATGACACATCTTAGTGTCTGTGAATAGTGGAACACTTGATGTATGCTCAGCTGTTACAAAACTTGAAACTTTAATAACATTGAGTGGATTAATGGTATATTATTTGCTTGTAGTTTCCAGTTAAAGTACATGATGCACCAAGTGGTTCCAGTGGAGTGACTGGATCAAGGTATCAATTCACTTTCATTGTCAAAAATAGTTCAATTATTGCAGACTATATATGTATACGATATACATCTCAGCTCAAATCAACATCATAATATTCAGCTGCATCATATTTCAGCATTAATCTTACTTGGTTTTGCAAGAGGTGTTGTTAAGTGTTATTGTTCAATCTTCCAGGGGATCACAGGCCTTGAGGTTCTTCAGCACTCATCAAATAAAGGTATGGTACTTATTGTACTCTGTGATTAATAGCCATATCTTTTGTCATATTGTTATTTATTACAAATTTAGGGTCGATATCCCTGTGATAATACAGAGAGGTTATCAGTCAGCTAAGCATTTGATACGGGTGTGTATTTTTACGAGTCACGAGTAATAAAAATACAAGTGACAAGCACCATAAATCCTCTATTTAGCCCCCCCTCTCAAATAAGCCCCCCACTCTCTAATAAGCCCCCCCT